TTCCAGCATTTAAAAAAAAAAGTCATGTTTTGCTGGCATTTTGGTCAACATAAACATTTCCTTTAACACCAAATGAACAGTGTTTGCTTCATTCTAATGTTACTTCACAATTTTAATTCAGCATTTTTAGATAAAAGTAATTTCAAAACAAGGCTTGATAACTTCATTACTAAAATATTAAAAGCAAATGCTTCAGCTTAACATCAGGAAGTTTAGCTCCTTCCACCCACCTTTTTATGCTAGGATATTTTTTTTCAGCTGAAGAAAGCTCAAGCCATGTTTGTTATAGACTCTCTCTCTCCTCTAACTCTCTTTCTGCTCATTTAATCCAGAAAAAACTCCCTCCAATTTGCTGCAGCATCTCATTGATTTCACCAAGACATGAGTGGCCCCATCAGGAACTGTACTTACCAAAAAGGCAAGAAATGGGCATTTACCTGAAGACCTGGGACATTAACTCAGGAAGCTATTTTTGTTGGATTACATAGCTGCCCAAACATGCCTTTTTTATCCTCTGGGACAGCACCCCCAATACTTACTTTTGGAATACCCTGGGTGGAAATTACAACGATGGAAGCAAAATGCTTGGGAACAACTTGCACATCCCAAGGCACATACTTGTACAAGACTGAGAACAGATTTTCATTAGCTTGGCATCAACATGATGTATCAACCAGCTGTTCATGTTGAGCTCAGTGGGCTGTAGCCAATTCCCAGTAAGGACAACTGGAAGTCTTCTAAGCTGTAATAAAATGGGGACTGCTCCATTTTCAGATACGTGCATCAGGAAGCCACTTTACAGTGCAACACTTGACAATTGATTCACAACATAAAAGTGGCCCAGCAACCCCTCTTCATCCCCCAAACCAAAAGGCAATTTGTGGAGAGCAGCTTCCCAGTGTGGGCAGCACAGCCCTTCAGGCACCCTGGACACCCCCTGGACCAGCTACCACACCCCCGTGGCTAGCAGTGGGCAGCCAACCCCTGGCAGAGCTGCTGCATGGCATACCTGTGAGCACAGAGCTTCTCGTGGCATCAGAGGGATCTGGACAGGCTGGATGGACTCCTCAAGGCCAATGGTACAAGGTGCAACAAGGCCAAGTTGTGCTACAGGCTTGGGCTGGAAAGCTGCCTGGCAGAAAAGGGCTGGGGGGTGTTGGTTGGCAGCTGGGTGAACATGAGCCAGCAGGGTGCCCAGGTGGCCAAGAAGGCCACCAGCATCCTGGCTTGTATTAGAAATAGTGTGGCCAGCAAGACAAGGGCAGTGATTGTTGCCCTGGACTTGGCACTGGTGAATACTGGGTTCAGTTATGGGCCCCTCTCCACAAGAAATACATCGAGGTGCTGGAGCATGTCCAGAGGACAACAAAGCTGGTGAAGGGTCTAGAGCAAAAGTCTTGTGAGAAGTAGCTGAGGGAACTGGGGTTGTTGAGCCTGGAGAAGAGGAGGCTCAGGGGAGACCACTTCACTTTCTACAACCTGAAGGCAGTTGCAGTGAGGTGGGGATTAGTCTGTTCTTGCAAATAACAGGTGACAGGATGAGAGGAAATGGCCTCAAGTTGTGCCAGGGAAAGTTTAGATGGAACATTAGGAAAAACTTCGGCACCAAAAGGGTTGTCAAGCCCTGCCCCAGGCTGCCCAGGGCAGTGGTGGAGTCCCCAAGCCCTGGAGGGATTTAAAACATGTTTAGATGGGGTGCTGAGAGACATGGTTTAGTGGAGGACTTGGCAGTGCTGGGTTAACAATGACTGAACCATCTTGCAATATGCAGGTATTCAAAGGTAGATTATATGAGGTGGTAGCTGCTATCACAGTGACCTAGATGCTAGGGTTTCAGATGTACCTCTGTCACACAGTCCTCCTAAAACAGCCTTTATTGCCAAGCTTTGATATGCCACTGTTCAATCAAATAAAGCAGCAACGAATATAACCTCAGGGAATAAAGAACTGAGCCAGGAGTGAAAATTCTATAAAAATACAAAATTTCACAATACAAGTGCAATTCTTTTCTGGTTTTCTCTGCACTGGACAAGTCTCCAGGTGGCTGATTTGCTTGTAACTAGATTTACTGGAATGCATCTGAAACATTCTGAATATCACCATTTTGGCCTCCAAAAGGTGACCACGTCTGAAGGGGTCACGTTGCCCATGGGGTGATGCAAAGTTGCTTCCTCAGCCCAGTGCCAGTGGGAGGAGAGGGCATCAGGCAGAGCTGGCTGGGCCAGCCCAGGAGAAGAGGCTTTGGCAAACAATTATTGTCAGAGGCAGCTCTCTTCTGCAGAACCCAAATCATGGAAAAAACTTGCAGACACTGAAGAGGTATAGGCAAAATGCAGCAAAAATGACTGCAGAAGCAAAACGTGAACTTCCTCACTGACTGACCAGAGACTAATTGTGGAAAGAGGAACAGTTGAGTCCAGAACAATATTCAGACACTTCCCTACCAGAAGGATGAAAGAGGGGGAAAGAAAGCTCAGGAGAACACCAGGTGAGCAGTGAGGAGAGGAGGGAAGCCCTCCAAAGGCCTGGCCTGCAGGGACAGAAGACAAGAGCATGCAAACAGACACACTTCGATGCAGAAGTCGGGCAGCTGAAGAAGCAAGGCTGAGAGTGAAGATCAGACACCCACTAGCCACCAAAGCCACAGAGGTGTCTTGCTGCCTCCCAGACTTCACTTTGGCAGCCGCTTCCCCACCCTGGACTGCCCTTGGGTCTCCCAGGGAAGCACAGGGACAGGGGAAAAGCCCTGCAGAGCCTGCAGGCATGGGCAGACTCCACAGCAGGCTGCTCAGCCACGTCCCCATGCAGCTCTCCCATCACCATGGGGAAAGGCCTCCACACCACAGCACCCTCCCAGTCCAAGATGCCACTGGGCTGGTCCCTCCTGGACGATCTGGCTGCTGCCTCCCACGAGCAACAGCTTCAGAGGGCTTGTGCTTTTCACTTGGAACAAACACACGCTTCACATATCAGAGGTAAAAGATTTTATTATCCCATAGATTTTTTCCTAAGAATTAAGGGTCCTACCAGACAAAATATACAAAGCATCTTATGTTTTCTTTCTAGACAACTGCATTCTCATCCTATGAAACAGTCACCACGTTAGTGCACCTTAAAGAACCAAGGTTTGTCCTTACAGCTGCAGGATTGCACAGAGTTAGCATATTCAATGACCAGTTAATTCATGCAGACTCAGAGGGAAGGGGGGGAAAAAAAGGTCTGTATGCTCACCTGAGTGCAGGCTTAGGTTCCTAGAAATGAAGAGAAACACTGGGCTTAAATTTACCAGTTTTACCATTAGGCAAAACAATTTTCTGAGACACTTCTCATCCACTCTGCAATGTCAGGTTAGGGCTAGTGGCAAGTTATCGTTGGAAAAACAGAGCTCTAGAAATGCAAATACCCCTCTGGCAGTAGGAAACTTTCCTTACCAACCTGCATGAAGTGCCCATAATTCTTAATTTCACATCAAGCTTAAAGCAGAATGAAACCAAAGTGTCCTCCTCTATTAGTTAAGACTAAATATTTATAGTTGACCATGTTTATATATAAAAAAAAAAAATTCTTAGCCTCTAAGGACATACTAATTTCTACTGCATTACATAACCATTTTGAGATCCTGTTTTGTATTCACATAATTAAATCACAGTATTACTACCTAGAAGTTTTATTCTAAAATATATTCAATTTTTTTTCAGTTCTGCTCAGTTAATGATTGTACTTGCATTTACTTTATCCTTCCCTCTTCTAAAACAACAGCTCATCTCAACAGATGGTGAACAAGTCTAGATTTGCTGGAAACCAATTAACAAGAATGTGCCAAGTTGAAACTCACCCCCTCCTTTCAAGCCAAAAAACTGCCTGCATTTCACGAACCTAATTAGTTTTAACTATATTTATGGAACAAAGAGAAGAATATTTAATTACTCTGCAATTCTCCTGTCTGATGATCAAGAGAAATGCAATTTTGTTCACACAGTTTCTCTGCAGTATATTGATCAGCTGAATCTTGCCTTGTATCAGTATCTGTACTACAACAGTGCCTGCAGATAACGTGATAACATGGCTGGACTTCAGTAATTAATATCAAACCAGCTTTCATCAGAGGAGTTATATGAGAACACACACTCTGTTTAAATAAAAAAATATTAAAAATCTGCTTCTGCACTTGCCAGTAACTACCAGTTCTGCTGCTGACAGCACTTTGTACACAGGCATGGCATCCCATCCACACACAGATGGGATCTCAACAACCCAGGAAGACAGAGCTGTGTGAACAGAACCCATCTTCCCAAGCACGCAGAGCTGGCCAGGACAGACACGAGACTGGATTAAGCCACCCAGCTCCACCCGCAGTCACAGCCTGGAGATGGGACACCAGTGGAGCTTTGGCATCCTGCAAAGACTTGACTCCTTATCTACCTGGGCAAAGCGACAGCAGATCTGCCCAGGATCCACAGCAGCTGCAACTCTGTTAGAGAAAAGGCTGCACAGCCTCACACTTCACCCTCTGCTTTGTGCCTGGGGAGCAGGGACAAGCTGTGTCATT